GCATCATGCCCTTCTCCAGGGACTGGTCTCTCTTGACAAAGTATGTAAGACAGGGTCTCGCCGTCCTTGCCTCGATGGAGCACTCTGGCTGTACTTTGAAGGCAGAGTTGTTTGCCCTTTTGGCAGTCCATGGTACTTTGAATATTCGTTTCCAGCACCGCGACTCAAATGCACCCATTCTTCCGCCCTCCTTATTCAATCTCCAACTTTCACATGCGTAGGAAGCAGTGGAAAATACCCTGGCTTGGGTCAGGCACACCTTAGCCCTCAAAGTAACCTTCTTGCTTTAGAATGCTCCAAAGAGGTCTTGTGCAGCAGATTTACCCAATGCAATGTGTCTTTTGCTCTCTTAACTGTTGCTTCTATGAGCACTGATTATGGATCCAGGCACGATGAAATCCTTGACAACGTCAGCGTTTCCCCCATTTATCATTTAACTGGACCTACAGGTCCAGTTGTGAGGATCTTGGTCTTTCCATTGCGTCACAATCCATACCGACGGCTGCAGCCCTTGATCATCATCAGTCAGGGTTTAAGGTCTCCTCACTTTTCAGGAAGCAAGGCGGTGTCATCTGCCCATCGCAGGTGGTTAATAAGCCTTCCTCCAATCCCGATGCCATATTTTTACGGCAGCCAGCTTCTCTGATGATTTGCTCTGCATACAGATTGAATGAGCATGGCGAGAGGACGCAACCCTGACACACACCTTTCCTGATTGTAAACCAGGCAGTCATCCCTGGTTCTGTTCCCACAACTGCCCCTTGATCCACGTTCAAGTGCCCAGGACACAGGGACGTGTTCTGGAATTCCCGTTCTTTTCAAGGCTATCCTGGTGCCCCAGCATCAGATGACGCTCCAGAAGGCTCCGCTCCCACAGGCTGTACTCCACCCACGTCACCTTGGTCAACACCACGTTGAGAACGCATCGGTCACATTTCAAGTGTCTTCTGACCCGGGGGGCCCAGCCTCCGGCACCATCTCTGACCGTGTTCTGCTTTGTCCATTAGGACTTCGGCATCTGACAGTGGCTCGAGGTCTGCATGGGTTTTAGCAGTTTCTTCCTCTGACGTGGGCGGCCGAGCCCTTCTTTGCAGTCTGTTCTCAGTCAGGAAGCCCCGCTGAAACCTGCCCGCGTTGGCTGACCCTGCTGGCATTTGAAACACCAGTGACAGAGCTTCTAGCATCACAGCAACACACAAGCCCCCACAGTACACAAACCGACAGACACGTGGTAGTTGTCTTAATGCTAGTTACGGTCCGCTATTTTACCTCTGTGGAGTCTAATATCCATTGCTACACAGAACTCACAGGCAGAATTCATGATTACAAGATTCATTAAGGAAGTGAACAAGTCATGCCAGTGAGAAATGCTCAGGGTTGAGTTGTTCATCAGGGCATGCTACAAAGTCCTTTAAGGTTTGTGAATAAATGCCCAAAGGGGCATACCACTCCCTTGTAAACCTTAACCTGAAAGCATTCAGCTCAAGCTCCGTGGATCAGCAAAGCCAGCTGCCTGGATTAAGTGCCAGAGCCGCCCCACTCCAGTCAGCCTCAGCCTGAAGGCACTCCGCTCCAGTTCGTGGGTCAGCACGCTCGGCTTCCCCAATGAAATGTCTAGAGCAGGGGTGCTCACACTTTTCAGCATGCGAGCTACTTATAAAATGATCAAGTCAAAATGATCTACCAACTACAAACACGCAAAACATATATTTATTTATTTATTTTACATTTATTCATCAGTGTTTTGAGAATTCTTTATATGCACAATGTATGTTTATGTACCTTGCATAACTGCATGAGTCCATATTGTACAAGACAACACAATTAACTGTGTACATTTTTTGTCATGACCTGAGTTTACTCTGACGACTCGCACTGAAGGAATGAGCCAGGGATGCATAGTGCGGACAGTAGCTGCTGACAGCCAGCCTCAAGCACACTTCCAAATGATCATCAGTCCTGATGGAAACGGGACTTGGACTTAATGATCTTTGTGTGGGGAAAGGCTGATTCACATGAATAAGTAGAGCCGAGTCATGCAGTCAAGGAGGTAGCACATTTTCTCATGTTTGGGTACTTTCCCTCTGTGAGTAAGTTCCAGGACTGTTCCTGCGTTCTGGACTTCAGCTGAATGTCGGCTTGTGGTGTCAAAATCCCCCATTCCGTATGAAAGTGATATGTTTTTGTCTTCTTACTTGGTCCAGCTCCCCCACTCATTTTAATACCCTTTCTTACATTTAAGAGACAAAACCAAGGTCTGAAAATTGGCGATAACTTAGTTTGTCAGTTTTGCTGCACTCAGCGCAGTTGTTTGCACATGCGTTTGACACCTAAGATTGCATCTGATTGGCTGCGCTGTTTGTCAATTAAGTGACGGGCTTGATGATCCGCTTACTCTATTTTTTTAATGTCATGTGATCTACCCACACTACATTTGCGTTTGACTAGTGGATCGCGATGGACGTATTGAGCACCGTTCTCAATCTTTCTAATGCTGTGACCCTTTAATACAGTTTCTATGTTGTGGTGACCCCCAACCATAACATTAGTTTAATTGCTATTTCATAACTGTAATTTTGCTACTGTTATAAATCATACTGTAAATATCTGATATGCAGGATGTGTATTTTCGTTGTTCCAAATTGAACATAATTAAACATAATTAAAGCATAGTGATGAATCATAAAACAATATGTAATTATATATTGTGACATATTTATGTGTTTTCTGATGGTCTTAAACGACCCCTGTGAATGAGTCGTGACCCATAGGTTGAGAACCGCTGGTCTAGAGGCACCCACTCCCCAAGCCAGCTTCCTGCACACAGCTTTCCTAGCTCTGGGGGGTGGGAAATCCACCACGCCGTCCCCTGTGCTGGCTCCTGGTTCTGCTGTTGTCCTCTGATGTTCTGGCGGTCTTCTGGATCCAGGAGGGTCCCTGCTCAGGGTTGCACTTCCCCTCCGGGCTCTTGCTGGTAATGAGAGCTCTCTCCTGGGCCTCGCAGAGGGCTCATTTTGTACCCGGCACTCCTGTTCAGTGCTTCACAAGTGAATCCCATCAGCATCTCCCTCACCTTCTTACCAGACCCCTGCCAGACAAGGTCGTTTGGTGAGAGTTAGAGACTTTGGCTAGAAGAGCCACAGTAAAGAACTCGCTGCCCCGCAATCCCCTCAGCTGGTTATTTTTCTGGGACAAGCTGTGGCCGTTCAGTGTCTTTCTTCTCAGACCCCATGCTCTGGACCTGCTCATGGTCCCGCTGTGAGAGCCGTGCCAGGGAAGGTGGCCAGCCTGCCGCCTGCTCAGAAAGTCCCATGGGCCTGCTCTGCTGTACTCCAGCTCCCTGCGAGGGCCTGGCACCCCCGGGAGCGTGAGAAACTCTTGGCCTTGGCCTTGGCCTGAGTGATGGTCAGAAATAATAGTGTCTAGACAAGACCCATGGAGTCCTGGGGGTGGCTTGTTGGGCTGTGACCCATGTGGTCGGCACTTCCAAACCTCCAGAAGCTCCTTTCTAGTCCTGTAACCAGTTAGGGCTCGGCAGCCACAGGGGTCTGCTGTGAGTCGGCAGAGGGTGAAAGTTTCCAGGCAGGAGCTGAGAAGTCCCGCAGAGAAAGTGGGATAAGCACTTGACTTCCAATGGAAAGGTCTGCTGTTGGCACCCGCCATCCTCCCTGCAGGGGGAGAGCCTGCAGTCTGCCTGTGGAAAGTGACAGCCTTTGAACCCCACTTGGGCGTGTTTAGCTCCTCCCTCTCCATCAGCCATCACGGGTCAGAAGTAACCTAATGGCTTCAGGTGTTATTTAGGCCGGGGCTTCACGAAGCTGGTGTCAGGTGAGCTTCTGAGAGCAAGCCTGTGATGGTTCCTTTCCCCTGGAGAAAGGCTGGTTGGTTTGATGAAGAAAAATCAATAGGGGCTAATTTAATTAGATGACTCTTTTCTGACCAATTGTGGAAATGACTGTGACTGACTGATGTGGTTAAAGCTTATGCATTTTGTTTAATGGGCTTCAAGCAGCAATAACTGATTTTAAGTCTCTCAGTATACTTTCTACATGCTTAGAATCAGGAGACGAATAAGATCAGTAGTAAACCCAAGCCAGCTCTGCTGTGTCTAGTCCATGCCGACTCATCGCGATCCTGTGGGACAGAGAACTGCCCCAGAGGGTACCCAAGGCCGACATCTTACCCCAGGGGACTGCCACATCTTTCCTTTGTGCAGTGGCTGGTGTTTAAGCAACTGACCTTTCGGTTAGCAGCCAGTTGCTTAACCAGTGTGCCACCTGGGTTCCTTATAGCAATAGCAGGCAACCTTTGTGAAGAAGTTACTCCACAGGGGAGCGGGGAGGGAGGCGGGGAGAATGAGGAGCTGATGCCAGGGGATTACGAGGAGAGCAAATGTTTTGAGAATGATGAGGGCAATGAATGTACAAATGTACTTTACACAATTGATGTATGTATGGATTGTGGTAAGAGTTGTATGAGCCCCTAATAAAACGATTGAAAAAAAAAGTTACTCCATGGTGAGTCACGTTATCTACCTACTTTCTCGTGATGAAGTTCCTGTGAGGGGACTGGGGTCCACACTTGACGGTGATGTAACCGAGGCTCCCAGGAGTGTCCAGGTGACTGTCACAGATGAGATTTTTCATGCAGGCAGTCTGCATTCTAACCCCCAAGCTTTGAACTTGATCCCAGGCTGCCTCGCACTGCCCCACTGAGGAAATGGTGCAGGGGGCAACACTGGAGCTCCTGGGCTTCAGGAGAGAGAAGAATCCCTGGCTGACAGCCACAAGGCAGGGTCAGGCCCTCCATCCCTTTGCACCAGATTCTGACACCAACCATCTCTCCCAGGGCAGTCCACTTCCTGGGTGGGTCCAGTGATTCCTTGCAATGGCCACACAGAACTCACAGACAATGTGATTATGGGGGCTAATGAGGGAAGTAACAGGCCACCACAAACCCGGAGCAGAAAACGTGAAGGATACAGCCTCATCTGAACCAGTAGCCATCCTCTCAATCATGTGGTCCTTTGGCCTCTGCCTCTCTGGGCCAGAAAGCCAGCCCCCTGCTCAGCCTGACTGCTGCAGGGTCTCCAGGGCAAGGCACCTCTGCTCTGGTGCCTCTGGGCTCTGTGTGCTGGCAGGGCCTGGGCTGCGTCTGCCACTTCAGGCCGGGAGCTTGAACACGCTCCGCTGTGGCTCTTCTTCCTGGATGGTACTGGGAGTCTCTCTGCTCCTGCTTGGGAGACGGTGCTCGCTGTCGCTGTCAGGCACACACTTTACTGGCCTGGTCCCACCCGATCATTTGGTGTGAGTTTTAGAGAAATGGGTAGAAGAGCCACAAGTAGTGGATTTCCCTTCCCACTCCTGTGCTGACACCGTTCCTCCCCCTCCCCCCCACGCAGGAGATGGGTCTGGGAGCGCTCAATTTATTTTTTATTGCTTTGTTTTTGGAAGGGCTCATTTTAGAAGCAGCTCTACTGCCATTATCATCCTGATTTACACTGGGAAGTCAGTGGCTTGTATGCAAATTGCATAATTGCAAGTGTCCAAGGATGCTTGAAAATAGTTTGCCAAGAGCTCCCGGGTGAGATGAGCCGCAGAGCCGGGGCGCCGTGGTGGTCCTCTGGCCCTGGGGAGGCTGGTGGTGGGAGGTGTGGGCTCTCCACTGCTGGGCACCAGCGCCGGCCTTCTTTTTCTACAGTCTCAGTGTCCTCCTGTGGGAATGGGGTGGGACCAGGGAGGTGGGCTGATGTGTTCAGAAGCCTGTACACA